TTACTTCTTTTGAAACAGAATGCCAAGATTTATCAACCTCGTGAGTGGCCCGAGGACGAATAATCCTATATTACCGGGAATTTCTCAACCGTCTGCACTATTTTAATATTTGTTTACTCATCACTCATGTCGATAACGTACACTGGTGCTTTTCCTTGAGTACTGATGTCTCAGTCCTGACGCACAGAAAAGGAACATGCCCGAGTCTTGCTGCACGTGTCTGCAGCATGAAGCTGACGTCAGCATCATGACTCAGACCGGTGTGCGGCGTTCATAATCTCATTCGTTTCAACTATGCTCCTTTCTTTGCGTCATGTCGCAGACATCGTGTCTTGACTGTTACATGCCTTGACGCATGCCGGTGTGCGTCCAACCTTAGTCACCCCTGCCATATACATGTTGCAAGCGTCGCTGTGTGTCGTGCGGGTTGCCTGGCACTCCGTTTCCAGATGTCCCGTGTGCTGCATGTCCTGGTACTCTCCCTCGTGGCTTCGCGGTGCGCCGCGACGCTCGGCGTCCTGCTGGCCTTGCAGACGCACTTTCACGCGGGCTGCGTTTACCTCCTGCAATCTCAGAACACAACAGGTAAGGAAACTTATTACTATTCTTATTACCATAGCGTTGTCGGGAAAGATCTTTCTTGCGTGGAACTGTAATACAATTTACTGCAGAATTTTCTTTGCAAATCGCAAGGAAATTGCACTATTTACATAAAAATTTCAAAAAATATCTTCATGGCGACTTCAGTACCAACACGAAGCAGACCCCCCTGACTTCAGATTACTAATAGTCTCTCAGCTGATCGAAAAGTGTCCGTATTTTATGAAACCGAAGGTTCATTATTCTTCACACACATCTGGCCATCCCTAATATTCTTCTAACACCCCCCTTTACCATTACTTTTTCCGTATACGGGCACATTTTAAAAAAAAAATTCCTTCAAATGAAATTTTCTGACAAAAGAACTGTGTTAATGTTAATTTATCCTGTGAGCGCTACATGATCAAGTCCACCTTAAATTTCCTGATTTAATTACTCTAACAATTTTTAGTCCACCTTAAATTTCCTGATTTAATTAGTCTAACAATTTTTAGCGAAGAGTACGAATTATGAAGTTCTTCGTTACGTATTTTTTTTTCTACAGTCTGTTGCTGAGCCTACGCTAGTTTCTACAGGTTCGTATTTTATAAACACCCTGTCTTCATACGCCCTGAAATAACTCAATATGAATAACGATGTATTACTAATCACAGAAAATTATGTGTGGAAACAAAAAAACTGCATTTGTTCGACATTGAACGTAGCCAATGAACTACGAAACGCAGACAATCAATTTCCACGCCGGTTCAAATGTCCTACCACGTATTTAACAGCTTTCACTATCTTTCATCAAACACGGTTAAAAGCTGGGGCCATAAATTACGCATTCATAATATCGCTTATCATCCAGCGCAATAGGACAAGATTAATTGCAGTCACAAAACTGTTACGAAGCCAACTAAGAACTCAAAAGGCTTCCTTCACGCCCACTTCGACCAAATGGAATATTATATACATCGAGGCCTTCGGATTCTGAGTAATTTTTTTTTAAAAAAAGAAATTTCGATGGGATGAACATTTGGCGAAAGAACCACAAGATTATTTACGTGAAGTGACAACGTAAGAATATAGCAACACTCGTAAATATTATCCCACGTGTATCAAAATTCCTTAATAGCATTTCCATGGCAACCGTTATAACAACACACATATATACCGCGAGGTCCAAAGTCCCTTAAAGGAAAACGATGACCAATCAGCCAAGCAAACTACCAGCATTTGCTTGTTATATAGATAGATAAAGTTCTTAAAAACTTCTCAGCTTGTTCTTATTTCCAGTGTTTTTCTTCTGGGTCGGGACGCCACGTTGTCTTGCCACAAAATATCGGCACAAAGTTGGTAGAACAAAGACCCAAGGAACTATACTACGAGGCGCGTCCACAAAGTAAGTTTCCCACTCGTCCCACAGCTAGCAAACCTTATATTGCGCGAAGCGACTGTGCGTACGTGATAGAGCAATGACGTAGCATGGCGCATGCACTAACGGCACCTCCCGCGTTCTCACAGTAGCATCGTTGCAGCTGTTGAAGATGGAGGTTCTTATTCCAGCCCCCGCCGACTGTGAAGTAGTGATTTTCATCTTTTCCTACACCTCAAGAAATTCCTGTCCGGTCAGTGTCAGCGTTTTGAGAATGACAGAGAGGCGGAGATGGTTGTCACACAGTGGTTCCAATCCCAGGCGGCAGACTTCTACGACACAGGTATTCAAAAGTTGGTCCCACGGTATGACAAATGTCTCAATTCCGGTGGCGAATATGTTGAAAAATAGCTGGACACTTGCTGTATCTGTTGCAATAAATATTCCCATGAAATTGTGTTTTGTTTCTGTAAACGGCCCCAGGGAAACTTACTTTGTGGACGAGCCTCGTACATTTGCAGTTGATGGACATTAAAGCTGTACCAGATCACAAATACCTCTGTAAAATGAACGCAAACCTTCCTAATCCTCTCCCACGAGGCAATAAAAATGAGATACATTTATAAATATTTGTGTATGTATTGCGTGCGACATGCAAAGTTCCCTTGCTTTGGAATATTGTCCTGTAGCACGAGAAGGTGAAAGCAACAGAATTGGTAATTGCATTTAACACACGCGTCTGCGAGATGTGAACAGCCCATTCTGTAGCTGTGGTTTACAGGGTGGCTGCCTCAACAACCACCATAACCCACAATGCCACGTGACACTTCCATTTAAATTTGCCCTCGACCCCTGTTCGTTTATAATTCTAATACTTGAACATTTTAAAATCAGTCAATGAAATATGGATATTCCAGCAGTCAGAACATAATCCCCTTGAAGCCGAAACTCGTCTTGGCGTTATTTAGAAATTCTGTCCGTACCGCAAAGAAAACGCAACACTTCACCATTACAACGATCAGCTGGTTAATGCTGTATAAGGATATAATCGATGTTTACTCTGGGAATAATATGAAATCGATATATACACATCACGGCTAAAACTCAAGAATTATTTATTGCTAAAGCAGATGGTACATATAGTTACCACTACACTTTAAACTGTTAAACATAAGCTGACGTTTATTATACGCAAGACACTAAAACGCCTTCAACGTAATGATTAGGCTAAACGCAGCACAAGAGTGTCGGAGAAGTTGCCGCATCACCACGGCGAACTGTAAATTCCTATGAGTGTGAGCATGAACTACAACATACAAGTGGCGAAGGGGGGGCGTGGGAGGTAAAGTGCCACAGAAACTGTTTCATAAAAAGAGTTAAAGACCACAATGGGATCTTTTTCATATCATGTACTACGCTTTCATCAGAAATTTGATGGAGTGTAATTTCAGCTTCGTAAATTCAGATAAAAAATAAATCATGTCCCATTGCGAGAAAATTGCATGGGTAAATGTAACAAAAACCCGACAGCTGTTTCTTCAATTCAGAATCGAACCCGGTACCTAAAAATACGGACATGTTAACAATTACTTGCTACGTAAAATCTATTTTGATCAGCGTATTTTGTTACGCTGGGGTCTCGGGTTCGATTCCCGGCGGTGCCCGAATTTATAACTTGTGTTGGGCAAGGCCGTGGTCTAGGCAACACGGAATTTTCCTCCGTGGCATCCCAACAATTACTCCATTCACACACAGAAGAAGGCAATGGCAAACCACTTCTGGATCATCTGCCAAGAACGTATATGAACAGGTCCCAGTCCGAGAAAAGGATGGAAGGATCCTGTTCATATGGACCTGTCGTCAGACAGAACACTAAATAAATAAAATATTAACAGCTTTTCTTCCAGATGTAGAACAGATGCGGATTTTGCAAAAATTAATGTCAACAAATGGCCGTCAAATAGCAGCGTATACCTTCTACGATCCAAATCAACTGAAGCCTCGAACCTGTTCCTTCAACAAGCCACTTCACGTGCTGCTATCTAGCGACAAGAGTACCAAATTAGCCCTAGCAGAGGTCAGTAAGAAATACTTTATTCGTACTAATAACACACCCAATTTACTACGTGGTAATTAATCCTTGCTAAGAAGGGAATATAGACTTATATATTAGGTCCGTGTGTTAAGTACGCATTCGTAAACTTTCTAAACAATTGATGGATTTTCATGCAATTTTTATCATCAAGATTGTGTTACAGGGGCAGTTTACAATTTCTGTCATCAATAATACCGAAATATGGTCCATACGAACTTTTGGGGACAACAACATTAGTGCCAGAACAATAGCAATAGGGGGAGATGAGGGAGAAATGTGTATAAAATGTTTGTTTCAAAGACTGAAGGGAAGAGAGCACTCATAAGACCTAGGCATTTATGGGAGGACAATATTAAAAATGGACAGTGACAGTTTTCTGTGGCTTCTCAGGTTGGCCTCCAGTTGCCTGTTCTTTCTTCTGTCCCCCAGATTTCTTTCCTAAATTAATATATAAGGCTTTTAACTCCTTGGATAATTGTTGTCAAACTGATTACTAATCCCTCCGGTCCGGAGATAGGGATTAGCTCTATCTAGTGGGCCCATCTGTGTAGGAACCTGAAGACGGAGATAGAGAGTCCCATCTCCGAAACGTCGTTTTTTACGTTTTATATTTACTAGACGATGGATAATATCCAAAAAAATTCAATAGTTGTATAATGCTGAACCCCATTTCACGTAATATTTATTGAATAATTAACGTTAGTGACATGAAATTTCATAAACACGTATTCTCTATTATACATTAGCATTGGTAACATGGCGTCTTGTGTAGATTTGATGTTGTATATCTTGTAAATTTAAATATGTGAAATGAGATATTGGTTGATATTACACAAAGAAATGGATTATTATTTGTAGTTCTTGATAGTCTGAGCATCTGAATGAAAGTTATCGTCATAAACGTCTTTCAAACTCCATCTTCAGGGATAAGGAATAAGCAAGAACTCCACAAGAAGTGTAAGAAATCTATTATTGTAACTATTAATAAGAAAAATTGTAAAACTGACTGTAGTAAAAACAAAGAAAACCACCATTCCCAATCACATACAAAATTTGGTCAAACATTCTTCCATCTAGGAAAACTATATATGTAGGCATCATCAATGTGGATTTCAATATACTTCATAAACAACTGATCAGATATTCTGTAATTGTCAGATACTGTAGAAAAGATATGAGTAAAATGTGACAGTATATCAGCTATTAATAGACTTCCAGAAAGTCAATGATTCAATTAGGAGGAAAGCATTATGCTACATTCTCACTGAATACAACACATCATTGAAAATAGTCAGAATATGTAAAATGTGTCTGAATGAATCCTACAGTAAAACTTTATTTATAAACATTCGTATGATGTATTTTATACACAGAACAGGCTTAAGCAAGGAGATGCAATAGGGGGAGATGAGGGAGAAATGTGTATAAAATGTTTGTTTCAAAGACTGAAGGGAAGAGAGCACTCATAAGACCTAGGCATTTATGGGAGGACAATATTAAAAATGGACAGTGACAGTTTTCTGTGGCTTCTCAGGTTGGCCTCCAGTTGCCTGTTCTTTCTTCTGTCCCCCAGATTTCTTTCCTAAATTAATATATAAGGCTTTTAACTCCTTGGATAATTGTTGTCAAACTGATTACTAATCCCTCCGGTCCGGAGATAGGGATTAGCTCTATCTAGTGGGCCCAACTGTGTAGGAACCTGAAGACGGAGATAGAGAGTCCCATCTCCGAAACGTCGTTTTACGTTTTATATCTACTAGACGATGGATAATATCCAAGTAAATTTTAATTCAATTGACTCTTCACCATCGTCAAGAAGTTTAAGCTAATGGCATGCTTAGCTAGTCAATAAATTCCCAACCCATTATCAAACCTGTATGTTGATTACCTTGTTCACAACCAGATGAATCCAATCCATACCCTCCAACCATATTTTCCTAAGATCGACCTAAAGGAAACCATATGAGATACAGAAATAAATGGGAGGAAAACATTAAAATATATAAAAATAGATCTCGGAGAAACACAGTGTGGACTACAGTGGCCCAGGATATGGTCCAATGCAATAGAGAGTCTATGTGAAACAAAATGTAACAAATATTTGGGTTCCATAAAAGCAGGAATTTCTTGACCAGTTGTGAAAGAATAAACTTTTCAAAAATCACAGAAGTGAGAGGTGTTTTCATTTTGGACTAATGGCTTTTAACATTAGACATAAACGCCGATATAATTTCCATATAATGACCACGAAAAATAAACTTCACAGAAGTGTTAGAAATCCCGTCTTCTTGGCCAAATTCACTATGATACTGCCTTGCTCCCAGCATATGGAAGAAACAGAATTCCACAGCACAGCCTGGGCATTCTTACTGTAAAGATATTCAACTGTTCATTATAGTCTGTCAATGATCATATGTTTTTCATGTGCTAAGTTGTCCTCCCATCTATTTTATCCAAACACAAAAATTAATAGCATGTCATGGATCACCTCAAATGGCACTTCACATACCTTTTAGCACTACTGGTTGAGTCTTTCCTTGTGGTCCAGTTACCCCAGGTGGAGAGGTAACAACTGCCTCTGGTGATGGTGGTTCTCTTGCACCAGTCAAACCAGGCGATGGAGTTACTCCTGTTACACCAGCAACATCACATGGAGGTGCACCTGTAGGCCCTCTCCTTCCTGCCTGTGCTTCAGAAGTCTACAGGTGGTTGCACAGCTGCTTCAACCTGCTGTTTGGGTCTAACATTTGCAGCAACAGCAGCATAAGAAAGTTGCATATATGTCACATCTGGTGGTTGTCCTGATCTATGTTCTGCAATATAAATAAACAAATATACTTGTAAAACAAACCAATCCTAAGCAGGGATCCAGAAACATGTTCCACATGTAATAGCACTGACCAGTGATGAATACATTCTTAACCTTGGTCCAAATCTATTAAGAATGTAATAAATAATCATTACATGTGACAAGCAGAAAGCAAATTAAAGATTTAATTGCTTTTGTTCACTGGCTCTAACATTTAATGTTATAAAAATATCTGACTGAAGACTATGAGCAAATGTACTTTGTCAAGTGGCTGGAAGGTTTAAGCTATATTTCTGAAATCCTGGTCCTAAGCCAAGGCCACTCCATTTTCTTAAAAGTGGAGAAGAGTAAATTTACGACACACTAAATGTGGTCTGAAATATAAACAATTTGCATGTTATTTAATGAAGATAATGGTGCTTTACGATCTGTACTACTTCTTCTTGCTAAAAGTTTACACTTTATGTGGGGAAACTAATATCAAATTTTCAGTCAAACCATGGTTTGATGAAGAAAATTAAAAATTATTATACAAAAGGAAGCAGACTAAGCTGCAGTGGTTACAGAATCCAAACCCATGGAAATTATATGAACAATGTAATATATGAAAGTACAACTTTCAGGAGACAAAACTAATCAGCATACAACATTAAAAAAAAATTAAACACCTACAGATATGCATATATAAATTTAACAAGGTTTACCAGCTTAGAACTTCCTTGGTAAAATATAATGGTTATCTGCTTGAAGATTCTCACAGCATTCTCAGCAGGTGTAAAAATTATTTTTGCCAGTTATTAAATGTACATGGGGTTAATGATGTTAGATCAACTAAAATACATACAGCTGAGCCATCAGATCTTTTTACTGTGGTGAGAATTATTGTTGTTCTGGGTTTTCCTGCTGTGTAAATTCAAAGGCAGATGCCAATATTTTGGAGAAACATACTGTCTCCATCTTCAGGGATAAGGAATAAGCAAGAACTCCACAAGAAGTGTAAGAAATCTATTATTGTAACTATTAATAAGAAAAATTGTAAAACTGACTGTAGTAAAAACAAAGAAAACCACCATTCCCAATCACATACAAAATTTGGTCAAACATTCTTCCATCTAGGAAAACTATATATGTAGGCATCATCAATGTGGATTTCAATATACTTCATAAACAACTGATCAGATATTCTGTAATTGTCAGATACTGTAGAAAAGATATGAGTAAAATGTGACAGTATATCAGCTATTAATAGACTTCCAGAAAGTCAATGATTCAATTAGGAGGAAAGCATTATGCTACATTCTCACTGAATACAACACATCATTGAAAATAGTCAGAATATGTAAAATGTGTCTGAATGAATCCTACAGTAAAACTTTATTTATAAACATTCGTATGATGTATTTTATACACAGAACAGGCTTAAGCAAGGAGATGCAATAGGGGGAGATGAGGGAGAAATGTGTATAAAATGTTTGTTTCAAAGACTGAAGGGAAGAGAGCACTCATAAGACCTAGGCATTTATGGGAGGACAATATTAAAAATGGACAGTGACAGTTTTCTGTGGCTTCTCAGGTTGGCCTCCAGTTGCCTGTTCTTTCTTCTGTCCCCCAGATTTCTTTCCTAAATTAATATATAAGGCTTTTAACTCCTTGGATAATTGTTGTCAAACTGATTACTAATCCCTCCGGTCCGGAGATAGGGATTAGCTCTATCTAGTGGGCCCAACTGTGTAGGAACCTGAAGACGGAGATAGAGAGTCCCATCTCCGAAACGTCGTTTTACGTTTTATATCTACTAGACGATGGATAATATCCAAGTAAATTTTAATTCAATTGACTCTTCACCATCGTCAAGAAGTTTAAGCTAATGGCATGCTTAGCTAGTCAATAAATTCCCAACCCATTATCAAACCTGTATGTTGATTACCTTGTTCACAACCAGATGAATCCAATCCATACCCTCCAACCATATTTTCCTAAGATCGACCTAAAGGAAACCATATGAGATACAGAAATAAATGGGAGGAAAACATTAAAATATATAAAAATAGATCTCGGAGAAACACAGTGTGGACTACAGTGGCCCAGGATATGGTCCAATGCAATAGAGAGTCTATGTGAAACAAAATGTAACAAATATTTGGGTTCCATAAAAGCAGGAATTTCTTGACCA